GTATAAATAATAAAATTGGCATTATTATTTTAAAAGATTTAAAATAAAAAAAAACTTAAGATGTTCTTTTCCATTTTTATAAAAAAATCGGTAAATCACTGAGACTGGGGAAAAATTTTTTAAATTGTTTTTTATTTTAAACTTTTTATTAAAAAATAATAAATATGCTATCGTGAAATCTTAAAATTTAACATTTTTTTAAGTTTCTAAATGAAAATGGATATGATCATTACTGGGTCAATCACAGCAGATACTTTATAAACCCAGATGATATATCCCTACTCAACGTATTAAGCGTTTATGAAGGGATCTTAAGGCGAGCTTCCCCTGAATTGGAAGAAAATATTTCTCTCATTTATATATATATATGTGAATATTCTTATTTTCGTGATATCAAAAATATGTCAAATTTAAGTAAATTAATTAAATTTTTAATTGATATAAATTTATATAGAACTATTTTTGTTTTTCCTTAAAATTATATATATCTATATTATCATTGTTTATATATTATGTTTATTCAAATAAATTGCTTAATTTTCTAGTATTTGATTTAATAGTCCGAACTTAGTAGCATCTGATATAGCACATGTCTTTTTAAAAAAATTTAAATAATATACTCCATATACGGTTTGACTAAACTACAAATGCCAAGGTAAACTGCAAATGCTTAAGTAAAAATTTTTGTTATATTCTTTCTTAATTGGAGCGAGATTCATTTTCTTATTCTATAAATAACTTATAAAATTATATTCTTAGATATATTCAATAATAAATGAATAGACATTAATAGTTGTATTTCCTTTTATCTCATAATAAAGAATTTAAATCCTTTAGTAAAATTAAATTAAAAATAATTATAATTACATTTTAAATTTCATTAATATTAAATCAGCAAGTTGGTGTACTATTAATTAATACAAAAATTAAATAATAATACGCCAACTGGCGGATTTTATATTATTGTAATTTAAAATGTCATTATAATACTTTTCTTTAAGATAATTATATTAATAGATTTAAACTGTTTAATATGAGATAAAAGAAAATACAACTACAGTGTTGTGATGATTTAATGAAACATATTGACGATTAAATTAAAACATTTACCTTGGAATTTGCAGTTTAGAAACATGTGAAACACGTCAAACACCTTTTTAAATAATAATATAATGATTTTAAAATATACTAAAACAAAGAAAATTTGCAATTACTTTTCTTAAAATAATAATACGTCAACTTGCGGATTTAATATTACTGAAATTTGAAATGTAATTATAATTATTTTTAATTTATTTATATTAAAGGATTTAAACTATTTATTATGATATAAAGGAAATACAACTATATCTATTCAATTTTTATTGATTATATCTAATAATATAATTTTTATAAGTTATACATATCATAAGAAAATGAATCTTCTCCAATTAATAGAATATATCTAAAATTTTTACCTAAGCATTTGCAGTTTACCTTGGCATTTGTAGTTTAGTCAAATCCCTCCATATATTATGTAAAATTAAAGAATTTTGAAAATTTTCACAAAAAAAAATAAGAAATTCTTAAAAATTTTGAGTAATGAAGCTTTGAATTATTGGTTGCTGCCTCACTCGAGGAGGGGGGGGGGGGTATTATCCTTTTCTGTTATTTTTTATGTAATTTTGAAAAAATTTTTTTGTTTATTTTTTTTATATTAATACTAGATTGGTTCTTTTTCTGATTGGTTAATTTTTTATTTTATTTATAAATTATACTCAAAATGATGAAGCAACTTATGAGTTTTGTCTAAATAACCAATTAATACCGTCAGGAATACAACATACTTGTTGCACATAATGCGGGTTGAAAAAAACAAGAGTTTGCGATACCGATGCAATAGGTGTCGTAGATCATACTCGATATGGAAAGGTAATATTAATTTTGATATCATAAATGACAAATTTTTAGATTCCATTTTTGAAGGTTGGGAAATTTTTAAGACTAGTGTACTTGCACATAAGTACTAATTTTTTAAAAAATATTAAAGAACAAAATTATTTTTAGGCCGTTATAAAATTTTAAGTGTTTCGATGGAATTATATTATGATAGGAAGCAATTTCTAGACACTTAGGTTTAAAAAATTTCGCAGATATGTGGTTACATATAGCTTCGAATCACTCAAAGATCAGGGGACCCGGCCACGTTATCGAAATTGACGAAACTCGTGTGTAGAAGCGTAAATATAATCGTTCGGCATCTGATCTCCGAGGCTATATGGATCATCGGTGACATATGTCGGGAGACAAATAAAATATTTCTTAGTGCCACAACAAGGGATCAAGAACCACACATGTCTTGGAAGATTCGGCGATAATGACTGGCTCGTGGTTAGGGTATGTAAATATATTTTTCTGTAAATCAAAAGTGGTATTAGATATAATCGGCTAAAACGAACAAATTATTTCCAATATCGTATCAATCATTCGCGAGATTTTGTTTATCCAAATGACAGATCGATCCACACACAAAAAGTTGAAAGGTTTTGGCGGGATCTAAACTTAAACTATAAAAGACAAGAGGATCGGGGTAATATTCATGAATAACTTTTTGAATATAGATATTTTCGAAAATATCGATTATTAAATCGTTTTAATAATTTTATTCGTTTTACTAATGATTGTATAAATTTTAATACTATATTTCGATTTAACTCTTTACTACAAAGGTTAAAATAATCACTTACACTTTAAAGGTGGAGTCTATTTTACCCCTGATAAATACAATATTTTAGATTTTTATTTATTTTCGGGAAAAAGTTATGCTAATTTTCCTACGGTTGCTTAAATTTTATTTATTTATGAAATCTTCTATTAATAATAGTATTATCACCAAAAAAATTTTTAATATAAAATTTTAGACTAATATTTATTTCCAGAAAAAGTTATGCTAATTTTCCTAAAGTTGCTGAATTTTTTTTATTTATGGGATCTTCCTTTAATTATAGTATTATCAGCAAAATAAATTTAAAATGCAAAGTTTCATTTACCAAAAATTCACCTTACCCCTTAGCCTACCCCTTTTAAAAAATTTGTAGCCAAAATGCTCACCCTCCCCCCTCCTCATATATAAACGATGTATACAATTATTTTAAAATATCTTAAATAAAAAAAATATATAATTTAAAAATAAAAGATTAACCAATCAGAAAGAACCAATCCAAATATTAATATAAAAACATTAAAAAATAAAAAAAAAGACCTCCCCCCCGCTAGAAGCAGCAACTGAATTTAGAGGTCCACAATGGGAAGGTTTTTAGCCAAAAAGCTTACCCACTCGTTGTTTTATAATTTATTTAACCCGCCTACTTATAATTTTTTAAAAAAAATTTAACTGCCCGCACGTCCATTTCTCTATAAATTTTGTTTAACCCGCCTGCGCCTAATGTTCAAAAATTATTTTAATGGCTGGTTTGGCTCTTTTTTTATTTATTTAAACGTATTTTTAATAAAACATTAATAATAAGCAATATTATGAAATAAAACTATTATTTTTAATAAATTATAGTCTGTTCTGTTTGTTTCGCCTGAAAAATATCGAAAATTTACCCGCCCACGCCCGCCCATTACTTTAAAAAAATTTTAAATCCGCCCGCCACTCGCCCAATGTTAAAAATATTTCAAAAAACCCGACCATGCCCATTCAAAGTATGGGCGGGCGTAAGCAGTCGGGTGAAGAAACCGCCCAATGCAGACCTTTAACCGAATTATTATTACATCAAAAAATTTCCACCCATATCAAACGATCGCATATTTTTTAAATAAAAATTATTTTTAAATATTTCCCCAAGTTTCAGTGACTTACCAAAATATATTTTAATATGCTTTAAATCTATAAATAAAAATAAATAGAATTTAGGGGGTGTTGTGCATTTACATTGTTTTAAAAATAATAAAATTATTTACAATTTTTAAAAAAAAAATTTCGAATTTTTCAATTTTTATAAAAATAAATAAAAAATCTTTTGAAATATTATAATAATGTAAATTAAACTATATAAATATATATAATATAAAATAAAATTTTTACAGGTATCAGCCCTATCCAATGTTTTTTGAAAAATCGGTGGCGATCCGATATTTAATATTGGTACAGCCCTAATTAGAAAGTGTATTATTCTCCCAAAAGGGCTGTCCAAATTACATTAATCAGTTTTTAATGGTTTTTCTTGACAAAAAGTTTAAAATGTTAATTAGATGTATATAATATTTTAAAAGAGTTGTGAGCTCATCCTCGATCTAGGAGGTGAAGGAGAATTTCAAATGTGTAAATTTACTTGGGTTGCAGGAAGAGTAAATAAGATTTTGGATAAAATATATAAATCAAGGTGCTGCAGCTTAACAGACTCCCAAAAATGCAAAATATTTTCCTTCTTATCTAATTTTTTAAAATTTCCAAATCCAGCAACTATCGTTCCAATACTTTTCTCTGTAATCAGCCATCTTTTATGTAAATTTATCTAAAACATCCTGTTCAATTACTTCATTCGAACTTTTATCATCAGATAAAATGGCATGGATATGAATTTAATCCAGCTTTCTAAATTAACAAGATTTCTTTACATACAAATCTCATCATCTTTAAGTAATATCTGTAATATTTAAGGATTTATATCTATAATTAAAAATATTTTATAATCTCATTTAAATTACTAATATTTGTATTTAAAATTTTACAAATATCTTAATATATTATTTTAAATATAAAATTCACTGAACCCGGGTTCATTTTGGGTTTTAAAAAAATATAAAGAGTTCAGTTTCAGTTTAGAAATTTTTTCAAAAACCCAGATTTTCTTCTTCAGGTTCCATTAGAATTCCTGATCAAAATGTTTAGCTAGCTTTAGTTAATGGACATATAAAAAATAAAAAAACAATCAACATATAATGAAGAATACATAATCAGAAATTTCAGAGGTATGACCTGGCACCAAAAGCCATTAAAAAAAGAATATTCATACCCTGTCCCCAGTTTTAGATATCCTGACTACACTACTACCTACCATATACTTATAATAAATATAATAATGGTAAATTTAAAGATTTTTTACTTGACATATAAGTGTTATTTTATGGGTTAATTCTACAGTTGACTGGCCAACATGTTGGTTGGAGAATTTTTGTTTACTCTTAATCAATGATAAATTAAAGGGATTTTTGCATACAATAGCTAGCCATAAAATATTAATGTACACATCTTCCCATTCCAGCTATATAAAAATATTTTCATGATAAAATTTATATATTTACATCATATTGGGTTAAATTATCTACCAATATCGGTAAATATTGAATATCATGTGGCAAATATGTAGAAAATGATTTTGGACCAACAATCTGCCAATTTAAAAATATAATTATTTAATTTATATCATTACTGAGCTTAAATTATATAAAATTTTTTTCAGATAAAGATTATTTGATCTTGATTTATCAAAACTCCCAATTAATTTAATGATAAAGTTCTCTATGAAATAGGAATATATATGTAATAATTATTTTTATATTCACCTATATAGGGTTTGAGCAATATAGGATTTTCGTGATATATTTTTAATTCATCTTTATATATTTATTATCACAATATTACCAAATAATTAAACCTTTGATTTTTTCATAAATATATTCTAGTGACTTATTTTTAATAAGAATTTGATCAATTTCATATATATATTTGTTAAATATATCATAGATACTCATATCAAATCAAAAATCTAAATTCATTCATTCATTCAATACCACACCAGAAATTGTCATCACCCACTAGGAGTTGTAGCGTGCACCAAGTATATTCACTAATATATAGATCCTATACATGATGTATACCCGTTTTATTATAGTGGACGGTCCCACTATGTAGTCAGCTAGCATAGTAAAGAAGAGAGGAGTAAGAAAAAGGGGATCTATTAGTTCCCTTACCGGCAAGATAGTGTTAAGAAATTGTAACCAATATCAATAATAATGTAGCCTGGTAAGATATTTAAGAGATGGAAAAAAGTAATTCAAATGTTAGGTAAGTATATCCTTGTAAGATAATGTTATGTCTATATAGCGTGTCCTGTTCCGGAGGCATCCACTTCCCTGTAATTGTAATCCCAATTCCCGACCCATTATCCTAAAGAACTTACTATCTTTGTGTGATTTTTCCTTCTTTTTACCTTCAATTATTTTTGTCATTATAGAGTCAATTATTTTTGTCATTATAGAGTCAATAGTGTCCCCATAAATCCTTGTTTGTATTAAGGAAGCGATCCTCGGGATCCTCATTATTTACCGCATTATCATTATTATAGTGAACCCGGAATCGTTATCATTATTATTCACGGACTTGAGATCATCATTACCTTCGTCAAAATCGTTTATCCAGTAGGGAAAGGAAAAAGACAGGAAAAGGAGTTATAAAGGGGAGGGGGGTTTAATAAGATACTAATTACCATCATCCTCATCCTATTTCATTCAATCCATAATTCCAATATAACCTGTACCGATGTATAAATTGTCATTCTAACCGCGAGAAGAGGTTGGAAATAAGACGGTGCGAGAATAGTCCAATACTTCCACGATTTCTGCTCTAGTTTAAACCATATTTAAGCATGTATTGTAGATGTTCTTTTAAATGTTTTTTGTTTTTATTGAGTGCCAAGAAATCTGGGAAAGAAAGATTGATCAAGTCCATATCCTTCAGACATTTTGCCAGCCAATAGTATTTGGGAGTTCTCTGTCTTCCATAATCTGGGGTCCACTTCATGGACGAAAATATCATATTTTCTTGTGAATGTCTTAAGCAATGACCGAGTAATTCTAATCTACTTAGAGGAATGAGTCGATTGATAGGTAGGATATCGCACCTATTCCAGAGAGTTGTGTTTGAGGTGTTGTATGGAGTAGGTTTTAGTGATTCTTCTTAGAAATTTATTTATAAAAGTCTGGGATGTGTTGATATTACTTTTAGTGTCCTGACATGTTTCTAATCCGTATGTTAAGATAGATAGAATTAGGGATTTGATGAGTCTTATCTTTTGGTTCGTAGATATTTGGTTGGACGACCATAATTTCGTTAGCTGGTGATATCGGGATCTGTCTTTGTTTGTCCTCGACTTAGTATCTAATATTGTGGTGACTAATGACATTATCCTGGTTCCTAGATACTTAAAATCTGAAACCTTTTCTACCACATTATCATCATAGTTAAAGGGGTCTGTATTATCTAGAAATGTATTGGACGCGATTAACTTTGTCTTCGAGTAATTGACTTTTAATCCGTATTCATAGCAAATTTTAACAAACAATGACAGCAAGTTTCTTAATTTGTACTCAGAGTTCGCTAATATGCATACATCATGCATAGCATAGAAAATTCAGAGAGTTGCTTTCTTTCTTTCTTTCTTTATCGCCTTGTTGATTCAGATATCGAGGAGTAAGGGCATATTCTTGTTTGAAGGATTTATTCAGAACATCGTTCATTATTACATTAAATAACATAGGTGATAGAATGCAACCTTGTTTCAGCCCTCTGTTGGCCTTAAATGGTTGTGATTTTATGCTCAGATGTTGTGGTATCACGTTATGGTTTTCGTACACTATTTTTATAAGCGAAATCAGATGTTTATCTATTCTTATGCCTTCCAGTAAGGGCCAGATCTTATGCTGTATAATGGAGTCAAAGGCTTGACTTAAATCAATCATTAGGGCAAGTATTGGGGACTTATGCATTCTAGCTTTCTCCAGAATAACCTTAAGCGCCTTGTTAGTAATTAATTTCCCTGTTTATGATTGTATAAACACTTCATCGAAAAGTTTTCCAATTCTGTGATTGGTCCATTTAAGCTCAGGAAAAATTAATAATTTAAAATTATTTTTTTTATAAAAATAATGGAAATTTGGATATAGTGTTTAAACCCGAGTGGAAGTCGTAGAAAGCGACCCATAGCCAGGGTTAGAATATCGACCACGACCCAAGGCGGGACGGCTCGCTGGGTCTACTTGCTGGTCGGCTTGCAGCGTACACAAAATACATAGCAAATTAAAGCGGTTTTTTTAATCCGCGTTTATAGTTTTTGATACTGGTAAGATGTTCTAATATCTTTGGTTCTAGTAATAAATTGGCAATTCCATTATAATGTATTCTATGACGAAAATTTTTTTATATTAAATCTAGATAAAAGTTTATGATACTAGTAAGATGTTATTAATTTAGGTCTAGTAAAAAATTGGTATTGCCATTATATTTCCACGAGGAAAAATAAATTTGAAATTCTAAATAGATGTTCTAAAACTTCTGGGTCTAGTACTAAATTGGCCCTGCCATTATATTTTATTACACGAGGAAAAAAAATATAAAAATTTTTTAAAAATTTGTTTTTAAAAAGTTTTTGATACTAGAAAGATGTTCTAAAACCTTTGGTTCTAGCAATAAATAGACAGTGCCATTATATTTTACTCATGAGGAAAAAAAATTAAGAAATTTTATTAAAATTTGTTTTAAGTCTAGTTAAAAGTTTTTGATGTTCTAAAATATTTGGGTCGAGTAATAAATTAAAATTCTTCTTGTGACATAAATTAATTCCAAAATATTCAAAGAAAGTAGTTTTAACTAGATATAATTAATTTAGTAATTTAAATATACAAAACAAAATTCCTCATAAAGGATCAAAAAGAGGTCATGATATTCTCAATGATATATAATATATCAATGAATATTCATGAAAGGTCATTCCAATATTATTTATTTTTATTATTAGGTTGAGATTGGGACATGAAGAATGTTTAGAAGTTAATTACACAATAATATTATTGATGTAGCACCATATAAAAGCTTGGAAATTTACTAAGACATACAATGAAGGATATTCTTAAACACAAAAAGTTTATTGGTAAAGCAAAAATAAATCGTAATGATCAAAAATGATCATCTAATACAAAAAAACGTTTCTTATATACAAAGTAAAAATATCGTATCACGTCAATACCGCGAAATTTTTACCGCTATTATAGCGAATGCATTATCGCAAAAATATTATAGCGAATGCATTATCGCGAAAATATTATAGCGAATGCATTACAGCGAATGTAATACCGAGAATGCATTATCGCGAATGCATCATAGCGAATGTATTATAGCGAATATATTAGCGCGAATGCATTATAGCGAATGCATTACCGCGAAAATATTATAGCGAATGCATTACAGCGAATGTAATACCGCGAATGCATTATCGCGAATGCATAATATCGAATGTATTATAGCGAATATATTAGCGCAAATGCATTATAGCGAATGCATTACCGCGAAAACATTATAGCGAATGCATTACAGCGAATATATTATCGCGAATGTATCATAGCGAATGTATTAGAGCGAATACATTACAGCGAATGCATTATAGCGAATGCATCATAGCGAATGCAATATCGCGAATGCATTACAACTAACATTATCACTAGTGATTTATATTTGACAAAATTATATTTAACCCATTTATTAAGTTCCAAAAAACCAGAGAACCAGCTTAATTGTCTATATTTATTTAAAGTAGCGTTTTAAAATTATTTACCTCTAAAACAGGTCACTTGTTATTTATGAAATTCGTATTTTATTAAAAAATATGTGGAATTTGGTATACTCAATTTTTTTAACAATTAGATTAAGTAATTTTTTACAAAAGACCCTATTAATTAATATTTTATATTTTAAGATTGATTCTAGTAAAAGTTAATTTTTGCTCCAACAAGCCCCAAACCCCAGGCTTGTAGATTATATTGGTTTATTAAGTCTCCTAGAGGATAATTGTTATTATCAATAATACACCATTTGTATATAAATAATTGATTAAAAATTTCAAAATGTGATATTATATTTTAAAAAATGTTTAAGTTTTAATAATTTTTTAATTTTTTTTCTAATTCTTTTGATTATCAACCACCAGAAAAGGTGAAAGTTAAAGGGAAAAAAATAGTATTATAAGCTATAATAGCCAATGAATACTTATTATATCATATTTTTAAGCATAATATAATTAATTCGACATAATTCTACTAGCCCCTAGTTACTGATATGATTAACCCTTTCCAGCGCTAAAAATATATGTTGATAATTTTTAAAATTTTTTAAATAAGATTAGATGAAGGGGAACATTGGATTGAGACCTCTATCTTATTAAATCTTTTGTAATCGTCAAAATTATTAATTTTATAGCTTTAAAACATAAAATCTTATCTTTTTTAAATTTAAACATTGTTAAATTTAAAAATAATAAATGCCAACTCCTGTTTCAAATATAAATCTTAAAATGATAATAAATATATTTAATTATATATTTTGGTGGTTTCAATAGAGATGATATGTGAATTTAGTTCAAATTTAATATTTTGTAAGTTATTTTCAAATCATATTATTCTGCCTGAAAGGGAATGCCTACAATAAATATTTTTAAACATAATGATTATGAGACTTTCTGAAATGGGAAAAGAAGATTTTTTAATTTCATATTCTGTCTATTTAATTATTTCTAAATCTCACTGTGCAAATTGGTTTATTATTCATGATACGGTTTTAAACAATTTCAACTTTAAGAGAGACAGAAGGCCACAAATCCATATTTTTATGCCGTTTAATATTATAGTGAAAAACATTTTAATTATGCTTTAATATTATTTACTTATCTTAAATTCCGTATAAAACAATTTATAAAATACAGAGAAAATATTCAAAATAACGA